TAGCATGTTAATTCAGATATGCTACTCTTTGCAGGCTAATATGCATTGTTTACACAAATGTGAGTGGCAAAAAAACAATTACTTATTTTTCGTGATTGGAAAAAAAGAAAAATTAAAGGCTGTACCCTCACTGTGCATAGTCAGTCAACATTTTAGTACATATAAGTCATTAAAAAAACTTCGGGGGGATTGTAGTGGACGTGCTGTGCTGCCCTCAGCTTGCTGCACTTCGACACTGACGAGAATCTCCCCCCTGGGGTGGCCTGTTCAAAACAGGTCGTGATAAAAGTATAATCCATGGTGTGAGTACAGCCAAGGTGGTTTGGTTAGCAGTGCACTGGCATGCGTTTGGGATTTTCTCTTGTTCATCTCATGATCATTTATCTTAAGAATGATTTCTGGGATTTGAAAGAACTGCAAGCACTTACACATTTTGAAGGCTTTTGAACTATATTATCCAACTGTCCTTTGGAAATACTTCAGTAGTATGTACTTCCACCAGTAACAGACTCGGATAGGCCTGTTCTTAGCCCTTTACCAACCGACCATTATGATTTGGGAGGAGAGGGTTAAAATGAACCGGGAAGCAAATCGTGCTCTTTTACTGTTGCATTAATTTGCATTTTACACCAAATGAAATTACAGTGTTTTCTTCTTTACTGTAATTCAGTTCGTTTCCCTTTTCAGTTTAGTTTGTGGTATTTCAGGCTATTTGGGTATACTTAAATTGTATTTATACAATCACTAATATTTTCCCCTATTGTTCTTATTGGAGGATGTGCATTCATTGATCTTCTGGTTTGGAGATGATAAAAGATACAAATCTATATTTTATTATTTCTCTAATCACACATTGTTAAAAAAAAAACATCTCATCCTTTATCCAAAATGGAATAATTTTGAATTTGTGGATACATTCTTGCCTGGAACATTAGTCACTTTTTTTGTTTGTCTTATCTCCATCACAGTTCATTTCCTGGTGCCTGGCAAGGCTCCTGTATCTGATGCAAACCTTCACTCATTCCGTGGTCCTCGGTGTTTCCCGGATTCTTGCCCTGATCTGCCTGCCATGTTCTGCACCAGTACCATAGCATTTAATCACTGTGAGAGTGTAAGACCTTCTGCCTACCTGCAGGGGAAAATCCCACTCTTAGTTTTTACTCTCTACTCTGAGAATATTTCTGGATATTTGTGCCATGTAGTCTTCTAAAGTGGATTTAGTTTGCCGAGGCTGGAAATCCCCTTTGGTGTTTCGATTTGCTCTACTTTTATAAACTAACAGGAGGAGAACCGATAATGGATGGCATTCACCCTTGCTCTCTCACCATCTCCCTCTTTCTTCACTCATTTAAATTTTCCTTGTTATCTCTTGGTAATCTCCAGGGTTCATCATACACCCCTCAGGGTATTTACTATTAATTCCATTCCTAGGCATTTTATAGTTGTGTTGCTATTGTGAATGGGATTTTTATTATACTTAATAATTTATTTTGCTGGTTAATAGAAAGAGAATTGATTTTTGGATATTTAATTTGTAACCTGTCTACTCACTCAGTTCTTGCCTTATATCTAATAGATTTTCTGTTTCACTTCATTCCTTTGGTCTTAGTACATAATCAGTCTTCAAATAATGATAATGTGATTTTTTTCCCTAATATTTATAACTCATTTTTTCTTATCTTATTGAATTGTTTGAAACTTGTCAAATAATGATAAATGATAGCAGTGAGAGCAGGCCATAGTTTTAAGAAAGACTGTGTATATCAAGTATGATTTTGCCTATTGGCTTTATGTAAGCATTTATTTGCTGTTATTAGTGATCATAAATACAGAACTTGGATGATGTGACCATAAAAACGTGGATAATTTGCGATCAGCTAAGTACTAATCTAATATGTGTGTGTGTGTGTGTATGTGTATGTTACTCACTGAATGCTCTCATGAGATAGGTGGTATTATTATTATTATCCCCGTTACACAGATGGGAAAATTAAGGCACCGGTAGGTCAAATAACTTCCCCCAAGACAAGGCAGCAGTAGGTGGCAGCTCTGGGGGCAGACCTCAGCAGTCTGGGCCCTGGGCCCGTGTTCACACCCAGCCTGCGACGCAGCTTGCAGGTGCAGAGAGAGCCCTGTTGGGCCTGCGCACTGCGACTCACATCAGACACGGACGCATCATCCAGAAGTTCCTGGGCTTTCCCTCCTCTGCCTCTTGATCTCCCTGTGTATTAAACACTTATGTGAGTCGATCTCCTAATGATATCCTTCCCATGCCATTCCTAGAAAAATACTCTGTAGATCATGCTAATTGTTTTTGATATATTTCTATTTCTTAACATAAAGAACTTTAAAAAATTGGGATATGTGTGTATCTATGTATATGTGTGTGTGTGTGTGTATGTATGTATATATGTGTGTGTGTGTGTGTGTGTATATATGAATGAGGTTGGCTTGCTGCCTTAGGTGCCATAATGATTAGTTTTTTGTATTAAGGTTATGCTAATATTTTTCCTGCAGCATTTTATTGAGTTGTAATTGACACACAACATTGTATTAGCTTCAGGTATACAACATAATGATTCAATATAGGTATTGATTGTGAAATTATCACAACAGTTACATCCATCTAGCTAGCATCCATCACCACACAATTACACATTTTTTTTTCTTGTGATGAGGACTTTCAAAATTACTCTGGTAGCCGATTTCACATATATTATAGTCCAGTATTGCAAACTATAGTCACCATGCTGTACATCATGTTCCCTGGGATGTATTTATTGGGTAACTGAAGGTTTGTACCTTTCAACCCATCTAGTAACCATCCATCTATTCTCTGTATCTATGAATCTGTATCTTTTTTTCATTCTACATATAAATGAGATCATTCAGTATTTGGCTCTGTGTCTTACCTCACTTAGCACGATGTGCTCAAGGTCCGTCCGTGTTGTTGCAAATGGCAGGGTTTCCTTTTTTATCACGAAATAATATTTTATACATACCACATTTTCGTTATTCATCCATCCACTAATGGATACTTGGATGTTTTAGGATGTTTCTATGTCTTGGCTATTGTAAATACCAGGGTTACACTGACATTTTAAGAAGAAACTGTGAAACTTTTTCTGTGTGGTGCGTGCATTCCGTGCATCCTCTCCTTTGGGTTTATCCTCCCGGGACCCTGGCACGTACACAGCATCTTTGAGGCACAGCATTTTCCCTTCAGGTCTCTGCTTGTGGCTTCATTGTCTCTGGCATTTAGTGGTGTACGCGGAACTTCATTCGTAGTTCCCTGGTCTTCTCTCCCTCGCCACCACCCAGAGTGCCTGAGGAGGGGAGGGTGTGAGCTTCACCTCAATTCTCCCAGCCAAGCCGGCCACTCCAGAACGTGCAGAAGCAGGCAGGAGTGCAGGGTGGAGGAAAAGAATCAGACCGTAGCGCTCCGGCGCTTGTAAAGAGATGCTGAGATTTTTCTCTCTCTTTAAAAAGTGATTTTTCCCTATTTACTTAAGAAAAACAACTTGTTAAACATCTGTTTTCCCCCTCCCACTGCTGCTGTTTACAGAGGAACAGACTTCCGTAACTCCGAAGTAGCGTCGTCTTTCTTTAGGAAAACAGGTGCGTAAACACGCAGCAAATCAAATTTTCGGGCTGCCGAAATGACCTTGGGGACTTCCCCCTTTCCCTTACCCTTTTGCCTAGACATTCTTTCGTGAGGCTGGTGGTTTTCCAGTTTGGGTCTTTGTTTTTTTCCTTGGGATCTTGATGACCAGTCTTGAAAAACTGTTACCGTCCTATTTCTCTTCTTTATATTGTATTATTTTGGATGTGAAAATCCATTTAAAGAATATTATTCAACTATTGATTTCTTCTCATTTAAGCAAAACTTTATACTTTGCAACACTTTGTGTTTGTGTCCTTTATAAACACAAAGACCTCAGGACCGCGTTGAATTCTGCCGTCTTTAACACGTTTATTAGGAAGAAGAAGAAGAGAAATTGAGCTAACGTTAATATTGTGAGGACTTTGAAATGTTCTTTATACCTACATGCCTCAGTATGTAGAGGCAAGAAGTAGCATCCTGTTTTACAGATGAGAAAAATCAAAGCTCACAGAGTTCACGAAGTCCAAGATCACACGTCTGGAACACAGTGAAATGAGGGTTCAAACCCGGTTTCTGTCTCCTTTCAGAAGACTTACGCGCTGTCTGCCTTACCGTGTAATCGAGTCCCTCCTGGTCCATGTGCCGCACTTTCTGTTGAGTAGTCGGTCCAGTCAGCATGCCCTGGCTGGCCTCTGTGACTCACCCCGAGGCTGTCTGTGGATAGAGTGTGAACTCTGCGGGTCCAAGCGTCCTTCTCTGTGGAAGGCATAAAATACCAGCACCCACCCCAGAGGGCTCTGGTGAGGAGTCGCTGAGTCAGTGCCTGTCAAGGGCTCAGGACAGTTCCTGGCACGTAGTGATGCACAGTAACACGGTTGTGTTCATTGTTGTTGTCCACGACTTCATAGCATAGAGTCTTTGTGTCCACACATTATCGTAGTGCATTCACCCGGTGGCTCTGACTTTTTTTTTCCCCTAGTTTCAGTACTTCGGATCCTGTGCCAGATCCTCCCTTATTTTCTCCACTGGTTGATACGGGAATGGGAGAAGAGGGGGTACTGCGTGGTGAGATCGTTTCCAAACTTGGGTTTCAGCAGTGAAACCCACTGGAAATGCAGATGGAGCATGGCTGCTCTAACTGAAGTTGGGGTGTGACTTTTGCGTCCTCACGCACCCCTGTGCCTTTGGGGCACTTCTCTGAAAGCCCAGGTGTCAAGGTAATGCGGCCTGAGACCCACCAGTCCACAAAAGATCCGAGCAAACACCTGGAACCGTGGCCCGTAAACACCGTTAACCCTCAGTCTCTGGGATGGGCGTGTGTCTGGGAGACCTTCCTCCCTTTTGCACCTTGTCTGCGCCCAGCACAGTCACTGCCGATGCTTGGTCTCCCTGGCAGGGTCTCCAGTTTGGCACCCGCGAGCTGGAGGAGATGGGAGCCATGTTCTGCCTGGGCCTCCTCATCCTGGAGCTCAAGTCCGTCAGCTGCAGCCGTCAGCTGCTGACCCGTGCGGCCGCCCTGCTGAACACGGAGGAGGACCCTCTGGACTGCCACCTCCAGAGGTAGGGTGCGCACGGGGCGTGGGGAACGTGGCCTTTCGTGGTTCCATGGGGTGGGGGGGTATCTCAGAAAGGAAAGTCAGGTGGACCTAGAGTTCTTTGGCAGTGGGAAAATCTGGGGGAGCCACCAGGTGAAGGCAGGGACAGCGGTCCTTTGTGGGAGCAAGACCCCGGAAGCCCTCACTTCCTGCTGGACACGAGGAGGATGCCGCGTACGTGTGCACATAAATGCGAGTGTAAAGCTATTTGTATTTGTAAATATGTCCTATTAATACATTTTGCTTATGGAAAGAAGATACAGCTTGGTGCCACACAGGTTATATTTGCCAGTTTGCCAGATATGTTTATATATAGGTATATACATATATAACAGATACCATTTGGGAGTTGCTACTTAGCAAAAAAAAATGGCGGGGGATGCAATGTGAACATGAGAGAAACCACATGAAGATGATGAACCCACTGGCCTGGAGAGGCTGGCTGAGCCATGGCAGGGAGAGACGGGTGTCTGAGGGGGAGCCGTCGTCCAGATAAGCCCTTTCGACGTGTTTGTTTACTGTGCACGCATGCTTTAGACTGGACCACAACAGAGTTAGGGGCAGGAAGGGGCGACATAAAGGTCATGCAAGAAAAGACAGGACCAGAAAAAGAGAAATCAAGGCTAAGACATTGGTCACACTTTGAGCGAGGGAACGGATGCTGTCACTGAGTTGGGGTGGGGGAGGAGGTGCCTCCTGGTAAATGAGGGTAAAATCTCTGCGTGCACGTGCCGTGTGAAGAAGGCAGAGAGAAAGCTGTGCATTCTAGGGCCATCTCATTTCCAGGTCATTTTCATTCCTTTCTCTCCCGCCACTGTTCGGCCACCTCCCAGTGAAACTTTGCGCCAAATCACCAGTCAAGCCTAGAACGATCTAGCAGCATAAATTAATACTGCTTTGGAAGGCACTGGTTTCTCTGAGACTTAATTACCTAAGTGCGGTAATTAACTTGCTCCTCATCCTGTGCTGCAGATCACAGACTGTGGAACTTAAGTACATGCAGACCTAACTTCCTGCCTGGAGTTGCTGCCTCCAATTTCTTTTGTTTTGACATCCTAACCGCTCCCCCTCAATTCCCCTGCTCCCGTCAGCCCCTGCGGCACCCCAAGGCTTGGGCGTGTTTAGTATCCTTGCAGTGTTTCGGCCTTTCCCTCCGACAGCCAGAGCTTCCACCGGCCAGGATATACATTTGAGCTTGTCTTTTCATCTTTGCCTTCGCTAAGCTGTCTTGGGTGCGGGCATGCCTGAATCGTCTTCCTCTCCTTTCCTCCGCCCCTCCTCCCCACCGCTGTTCATTGAGGGGAGATTGAGCAGACCTGGCATTGCTTGCTTTCCCTGAATTGATTGTGCCCGTCCGTTTGATCCAATGCAGGGAGGATTAGTTGCTTGTAAACTGGAACAAGAAGAAATCTATCAAAGAAGTGCCTTTTCTAATGCGGGTCTAAAGAATTCGGTGTCAGCCTCCAAATACATTGGCTGCTGTGTGAGTCATCATAAGAACGTAGCATTCCCTGCCTTTCATGCCATCCCACACGACTGACTGCTACCTTTCTGTTGGAACCAGCCCAAGGAGGTGGGAGCCTGGGGTCTTCCAGGTCCTTGTGGGCTGGTGCAGCTTCTTAGGGGCAGGGTGCTGCCTACTACACATAGGGTGTGATTAATGTGTGTGTGTGGACAGATCCGAGTTAAATTGGAGAGGCATGGAGTTTGGAGGGAGCAGCAGGATGGAGCTGTTTCACCCAAACGTCTGTATCATCATGTACTTTTGTATTGTTTGCGGCAGTTGGCCAAGACAGATTGCAGCTCCTGCCCACAGCACCTGAAAACTGCATGGCTGAGAGGAAAGTCACCCCGAAGGTGTCTGGACCCAGAAGATATCTTGGCCACTAAGTGTACAGGGTAGGGCAAAAGTAGGTTGCCGTTGCGAGTGTGTGAAGCAGAGTTTATCCTCGTGTCATTATTTATTAATTATTGTGTTGTTTCCCATACGAACAGCTGGGAACCTGCCTTGGCTCTACCCTGTATATTCATTCATTAACAACATGCGGTCTGTTGGTTTGAAGCAGCAGTGGCTGTCTGAGCGCCCTCTGATTCGGTTTTGAACAGGACTAAATCATGAGACGCAGTGATCAGCAGAGCCAGCGCTGGGATTTTGTTAGCAACAGAGTTCTTAGGATAATACAAAGGGTATCACTAACGTTTGTCAACGTAACTCTCCACGGGCTTAATTGAAAGAGGAGCGAGGCTTTCGCCCACCCCTCCCCTCCTGCCTCCTCCTTGGGTGTGCTGCCACCATCTTGTGTACCAGGTACATAATTCAGAAAGATTTCCTTTTTGCCCAGAAGAAAGAGGGTGCTGACGGGCGTGGCGGCTCTTACCTAAAAGTCGGCCTTAAAGGGACGTGAGGCCACGCTGCGGCATTGCGTCTTTCGGCCCCACAGACAGTGTCAGCCCCTGGGAGGGGCGTGCTGGGAAGAGAGAGTGCGGCTGTGCTCTCTGGGCACCCTGCTTTTGACAGTCGGTTTCACGCCTCATTTGCCGTAAAAATAATTAGAACGTGGTCAACATCCACAGAGCAGCTCGCTGTCTGTCACCAGCAGAGGAAGAGCAGAGGTGGTGGGTGCTCGCCAGCGGCTGAAGCTTTCGCTGTGTTTCCGTTTTCCTTCCACAGTCCCTCCTTCCCAGTTGCTCATTCAAGAAACGTCTTCAGATCCATTAAGGCGTCTTTTGATCTTCTTTCCTTTCCTCTTTTCTCTCCTTCCTCGCAGTCTTACCCCTGGAGCTAATAGCGTGTGCACTGCAGGAATTCTAAGCTGCTGCTTCAGGCGGCACCGTTCATCCATGGTGACGGGTCTTTTGCAAAGTCATTTAGCAGTTTTGCCAAGTCAGCTGCCGTTCATCTTGATTTGTATCCCTTCGTTGCTTCTGGTCTTCTCAGCTGAGCTCCCTGTCTCCATTTGTCCCTCCAGTAAGAACAAGAGTCCCTGTCCAGGCAGCTCCTTGGGTCAGAGCATCGTCTGGATACGTCAAGCTTGTGGGTTCGGTCCCTGGTCAGGGCACACACAGGCAGCATCCAAGGAGTGCATCAATAGATAAATGGAGCAACTAATCAATGTTCCTCTTCCTCCCCGCCTCTCTCCCTCACCCACCCTCCCTCCCTCTACCCTCTTCCTCTCTCTCTAAAATCCACTTTTAAAAAATAAAGAAAGAACAAGAGAAATCTCAGAGTTTCCAGTTGTCCCTTTGCAATAGCTCAGTATCTTGCTTATTCTCCCAAATGAGTGTCCCAAATTAACCAGAGCTATCCTTAACAGCAAGGTAAGTTAGTCCTGTCTTTAGTTTGATAAGACAACACACACACACACAAATGTTTCATAGACATGAGAAAACAATCACATTTTTAATCATTAAAAAGATAATGCTTTTTGTTTTTAAAAAACACAGCTTTGTCTTTCTGAGTGAGAAAATACGACATGAACCGAAAGATCACCCCATCCGTGTGTTTAATCTCCGAGAATCCCACCAGCGATTAAGAACCGTTGTCAGTGGTTTGGTGGAATTAGATTTTTTTCACCCATGAATAAACTGATATGCAATCCCTTCAACCTCTGTTATAGGAGTTCTTTCTAAATTCTTTATGAACACTGTTTTTCCCCTCTGTCTTAATAGACTATGATTTTGCAGCAGTTCAAGGCCCACAGAACAATCGTGAAGATGGCTCGGAGATTCCCCATGCACACCCAGTTGAATTAGTTACACAACGGCAAATGTGACTGTTTTGGGTTTGCCTTTTATGCTGATTTTCTACAATAAGTAAATAAAAGTAATGAAAACCCAAAATTAGTGTGTCTGTGAGGAAAGAAGTTTAATAATATCATACAGCCATCAGTAAATTGGTTTAGTTTCCTCTGGAGAGGAATTTGGCAATTTACAAGAAGGTTCATAAAAACTGCCTATTTCATCCTGTGCTTCCCGCTTGAATATCCCTCAAGAAAATAAACTTAGCAGAAAACAATATTTGATATGTAGATATTTATAGCAGTGATGCATATATCCCCAAATAAACTTAAACAACTCCAACTCCTAGCAGTAATAAAAAGAAAAAAAGGACATTTTGATTAATTTTCTAGAATACCATGAAAACATAAAAATAAAAAGTATTGTAATATACATGTAAAACAATAATAATAGAAACATTCATTAGAACCTCACCGTGAACCAGAGGCTGTGCTAAGAGTTTTACAAGTATTGTCTCACTTGATCGTATAAACAACTCTGTGGAATAGCTGCTGTTTTCAGCATGGCCTCTTACTAACAAGGACATGAAGTTTTACGGGGGTCAGTGTGTCTGCCGAATGTCATGATCCTAGTAAGAGCCTGCTGGCTTTGCAGTCCCGTCCTGTCTGACTCCAAGGCTCAAGTTCTTCTTTGTTGTCACCATCAGCCTTTCCATTGGTAAATAAAAAGAGCAGAATAATTCATGGCACACACATGCTGATTGCAATGTCAGCAGTTTGCAGTCACGTGGACAGGGATGAGGATCATTAAGTGAGTATAATTTAAAACTAATTTTGTTAGTCTCTCTGTACAGTTCTTTAAAGTATGCGTCGGGTGAACGTAATGCCTGAGGGTGCTGGTGAGTTTTAGAATCTGGGTGACTTGGGCGCATTCTGGCCCAGGAACACCCCTTCGTTGATCGAATGCCGTTCAGGGAAGGTCAGTGTGTAGCGCCACAGGTGGAATGGGTGTGGCCATAGGCTGAAGGCATCCCAACCCAGTGCAGATGAGCATTCAAAACAGAAGGAGGAAAGACATGGCAGACAGGAGGCGTTCAGGTGCGTTTTCCTCAAATTGCACTTGCTGTTTGCAAAATGTTACCAGCGACTAACAACCCTGCAGATGAACCGACGAGGATTCCTACTGCGTAAGTGAGTCCGGGGGAGCCCAGGGAGTCCGAGTGACCTG